TATATAAAGTAACATATTTACCAAATATACATGGAGAACACTGACAGTAGATAAGCATAACTTTCATGTCACATACAAGAATCCAATCAGTTAAAACTATGATTAGAAAATAGTTAAACAACACTTTGTACCAAAAATTTTGTTATAGAAGTCAAAAACCAGATATACCAAAAAATCCAAAATAAAAAAGCTGGATAAAATGGCTGAGTGCGCAAAAAAAATTTCATTCTTAAAAATAAAAAAAACATGATAGTCAGTGGCTGCACTGCCGAGATCTGGGATGGACAGACTACGGCCCGCGGGCCCAATTCAGCCAATTGGGGGATTAAATCTGGTCCGCCTGATGCTGCCATAAATTTCTGCTTTTAACTAAATCATGCATGCACTACGTATACATGTTGTTATTGAAATCTGTATAGTGCAATGGACTTGTTAGATTACGATCGTAGTCTGTGTAGGTTTCATTTCGGGTTGCCGAAGGCTTTCATCTCTTGGCTTGTCACGTGCAGTCAGTAGCTTAAATTTATCCCTTCCCTGCACTTCAATTGGTGGAGATTGATATCTAATAAATTATTGAAGACTAATTTTTGTTTACATGAGTGAGTGAACAGCCTTCAGTCTGATGGATTTCAACAACTTTAAACACAGATCTCAATTAACCTTCTCATTTCAAATCTGTTGTGACAATTGTAACAGCTGAACTAAAATTTTGATGTTTCAATAAAAATGGGTTGAGGATGTTGTTGAGATTGCAATAAAATTTAGGCTATTTATACAAGACACATTGTTTTTTACTTTTGTTTCTGTACCACTGTAAATGTTGTTCATAAAATGTAACTTTTCATGTAAACTCATACATGCTCCGCAAGTCTAGATGGGCAAAATTTTGAGCCCCTGGGTCCAAAAACCTTGCCCACCTCTGGCCTTGTCCATAGTGAACACCTAGGACAGGGGTGGGCAACCTCTGGCACGCGTGCCACAATCGGCACGCGAGCCCATTTATTCGGCACGCGAGCGAGGCCTCAGAAACAAGATCATTCTTCTTCAGATAAAAAGTTTCAAGACTATGAATTATCTGATGAATCTTGCTGTTCGTTTATTCAATACATATCGTTTGTTAAGAATCCGTTATTTATTTAAACTCTTTTTGTCCTTTCATGACATATGTCTACAAAGATATATAACGTAACAAATGAGTGAGCTCTCCGAAATTTTGTCGAGAAGAGCGCAGCATTCATTTGGCTACATTCTCACATAATATAGATTGTTTGTGTCACCCCTTTTCTTTATTTTTGCTTGATTGATGAGGTTTTACAACTCATGTTGGTCACAGTTAATTGATAACTTATTGTTAAAATTGACTTCGAAATAAATATAAGCGATTAGAGAAGGGAATACAAAAGAGGAGTGCAGAAAACAAACTATTCCGTGATTGGGATGCCATTGTCGAAAATTTTCTGCGTGTTTAAAACTTTGCAACCTCATTACTCTCCATGTTTTCATCTACATATTATGCTTGTGAATCTCTGTTCTCAGTTATGAACTTTATTAGGTCTCGTACCAGAAGTAGCCTGAAAGATGAAACCAGTAGTTTTTGTATTTTTTCAAAAGTTACAAAATATAAACCCAATGTAGATGCAGCAGCAGAAGTATCACTGAAATAGAATAAGAAAAGTAATCAAATCTGTTTACGGACTGATATTTTCCCGAAAAGTGAATCTGTCTGTACATGTTTAAAAGGTTCATTATTGTGTATTTTTGCTTTGAAAGTAGCAAATCGTGGTTTTTTATTTTGGTCGGCACAAGGGAGAATTTTATCGTTAAATTTAGCCGATTTCGGCACGCGAACCAAAAAAGGTTGCCCACCCCTGACCTAGGATAATTCACTTATATACTCCAAATAGATATACTTGACGTTTTCAAAGAATTGTGTGAATTTTGATTAGCATAAATTATCCTTGGACTTAGCCCATCTTGCTCCCTACCGTCTAAATATCATTTCCTTTGCATAATGAGATTATCGAGCACACACTCGATTTCTCCCCGATATGAAACAGTAACATTTGTGACTCAGATTAGCAGCAAGTTGGATTCTTGCTAGTATATTAAAGTTGTCATGAGCTTTGTTTATATGGATGGTGTGAGTGAAATTGCAACGACAATATTAAAAAGTGGCTAATCAATATTTAGAGTTGGAGGATCTTTGTGTTTTAGAGCTATGAATACTAGTGTAATGGCGCTTCAGGAATGAGTGTACTAAGTTTGTACGCTTACTTTACATCAAGTTGTGTAAAAGTACGGAAGCCTATGGGCAGAGGGTATATTCACAGACAGTCCCCGAACTCATAATAGAACTAAAGTAAGGGAAATCGTAATGAAAGAATGTCCTAACTTTAACCTGGTAAACACTCTATGTGACTATGATACCAGAGTAATTATAAATGTCCTTCACCTTGCTAGAATAAGCACACCATGCATACTAATATTCAATGAAAGAAACGGCATGAAATGAAATAGAACGTAATACACAAATACTTTATATTTTATAATCCATATTAAATTAAATACCAACATTTTAAGAAAACATTTTAAATTGGACCAATTTTACATTATCATTAAGACACATTTCTTCATAATAATGAAAATTGTTGGCTGAAACTCATAAAGTACTCAACATACAATTTAATGAAAGCCTGTATAGTGTAACGGCAAAATTTTTTTCCAACTTGGGGTCTGCGCTGAAATATTTGTCAACACCTATTGAAGTCATTTTAAATAGCTAGCATTTTATAGTGTAAACTTTTTTACAGCCCTGGTATGCAAGTTTATGATTTTTATTCATTATTCAATGTGTAATATGACAAAAAAAATTGAGAATGTTCTTTTATCGCATAAAAAGGTGATTGAAATAATAGGATTTGTTCGAATAATATAATATTCCTATTATGTGTCTCTATGGGGTCGTATTTCCAAACTCCACGGAGTTCAAAGTTGAAACTTCTGACTGAAAATCATGGAAACCATTACCTTAGCAGGTAGTTAGAAAAGATTTGCATAAGCCCAAAGTTAAATTTTTGAAGTCCTTTAAACTTCTGAGTCTAGGTCAAAATCATTGCCAACTCGAAATAGAGAGTTGGGTCCGCTTTCGAATAAATAGGACTTTCGGGTGAAAATTTTCCCAGATTCTGCAGCTAAGTCTATAATGATACGCATTATGTTAGACATTTGATGTACAATATGGCAAGAACATTGAGAAAGTTTTCATATTAAATACAAAAATGTAGTCTGAATTTCAATTCCAAAATTAATACACAACCCCTTCTGAAAAAAAAAATATAGCCATGGAAAGCCAATGTAATAAAAAATAAGATGTGAAAAATTCACTCCTGTAGTATGTGTACCAAGTTAGGGCATAATTTTATTCCGATTTTCCTTATTCCAGTTCTATTATGAGTTCGAGACTGTCTGTGTTAGGCAAGTGGATATACCCCCTACCTACAACTTGATGTAAAGTAGGCAAACAAAGTTAATTACCGCCACATTGGTACTGGAGTCTGGAGCGTTGTAATATGGGAAAGAATGCTGGCTATTATAGTCTCAAAGAATGCAATAAATTTGGTAGGAAATGAAGAACTAGACAGATTACCCTAACAAAAATGATAATTCCATATACAGCATAGGCTACCTGTCTAGGATCTTGTTTAAAATATTGTATAATATTATATATTAAAATGATAAAATAGTTTTACTCTTTTTATACGGCTAAGTCTAGTTTCAGATGATTTGATTGCAAATTAAAAAAAAATATATCAAAGTAAATGAAAATGGTATTGGCGAACTTGTTGAGGCATCTTTGTGTTTGGAGCACTGATACACATACACTGGTACACATACTATGTTCCAGTGTCCGCCATCTTGGTTCACATACTTCTGGAGCGCCATTATTTTTATTTATGGCCCTCCTGTATTAAAGGTTGTACATCCCTGCTTAAAGGTACCTTAAGGGTATGCATTTGGGTTAGTGGATCGGAGGACATCGTGAAGCCTGTGTGTCTTGTGGGTGTCGGTTTATAATGAATGGTAGGGTGGCCTCCTGTCATTGGCTGAGGAAATACTTGTCCTGGGGGAACAAGTACAGCTTTCTGTGAAACAGGAAATCTGCATAACTTGGTAAAATCATATATTGACCTTTTGCAGGTCGAGAATATGCAAGTTGTGAAGTATAACGCTTCAGGTTTATAGGAAAGTTACATGTGTACTGTTTTTGACTCCACATGGGTTGAAAAAGTTCATTACTGGGCGCATGTAGCTAACTTAAATTCGTTGTAGATTGTTCAGATAGTTGTTCATACTCAAAGCTCACATATTCAGAATTATGGTTCCGAGCCATCGGTTTTCAACAAACTTGAGAGTGGGTCACTGGATTGTAAACTTTTTTCAGTACATAAGACTTCAACCAGTCCCGTCTTGTGAACAGATTACTGGCAACCTAGCTACAGTTTAAATCTATATCTCTGAGAAATTATGAATTGCATATTTATTATATGGGAAACAAACACTTGCATTAAAATATTCAGAACATCAAGGTGATTAAAAATGCTTAACTAAACAAAAACTTTAGATGCTTGAAACAACAATGCCCAAAATCAAAATAATATGCAGTTTTTTAAATCATAAATCCCAGCCATTTTAAAGCAATAAAAATTGTTATAAAATCTGACTTTAAAAATGATTCAGTAGAATTTCAATTCAGAACATTTCAAACAATTAAATATATATATATATATATATAGATCAAATCATACATAAACAGGCATTTCACTATTCGGTCAAGGCTGTGGTGATAGAGACAAGTTCTGGAATGTTTTATTGATACTGGCGTCAGAATTTTAAGTTCTTTGAACCAGAATGAGTTTGTTATAGATATAACAAATGGATATGATAATATCGTCAGTCTATACAAAAACAAGTATATTTCATCATCATCTTCTATAACTTATTTACTTAACAAAGCTACAGCAATAAACCCAGTCCACCTCAGGCCGATCCATTTCACAGACTATTTTCCATTCACCAGTTTCTTCATTGAATGTTTCAATAGAATCCTTCATCGGGTCTCCATGATAATCCCCACCGACTGCATACATTTTATTATCAACAACACATGCACTGAAACATTGTCTATACCTCGCCATTATTCCAATTTCTGTCAATGAGCGATCAGTAGGGTTATAACGTTGAACATAACAGTGAGGATACCCTCCATCATCTCCTCCCAGTACATAAACCATACTTTGAAAAACGACTGCTGCACCACCTGCTGCAAAAAACATTTGTGACAGTGGAGACCATTTCTCAATTTCAGGATTGTATACTTTTGCTTTTGTACCTCCTAGTGCATATATGAACTCATCAGAGGCTGCAGCACAAAAAGCCTCACCAAGATCACATGAAGACAAATTCTTATCCCATCTGTCTTTGGCAATGTCATATCGCATTGTATTCTGATCAAGGCTGATTATATAAATTCCACCCTTGAGATAAACAATCTTATCGTACTCATCACTTTTTCTTTCAACCTTGGTCTTCCTAATCCATTGCCCATCCTGCAGCGAAGATAATTCATTCCCATCTGAAGCATACAATCGTCCCTCAGCATTGACAAGATGAATGCCAACATCATAATCTGAATGCAAACTAGACCATTGATTTGTTTGGAGATTCAGAGCCTTTATACCAGTCTTTGCTGAGACGGCAATATGTGGGGCAAGTTTTTTCCCTTGAGCTTTGGCATGGAGAACATCAAGCAATAAATCTTTACACTTATGCGACTCTTTAATTAAAGGATCATTTCTGACTGTTTGTCGAATAAACTCATAAGAAAAATCCTGAAGTTTTATCAACTCGAACAAATCAGGGAAAAATTTCTGATGACGACGACTTTGTTTGGCCCATTTTAGTGCAGCTTCCCATTTAATTTTCTCTGAAGAATATTTTGTTTCCTGAGATTTGAACAAGAAAAAAATTTCATTTTTTCCCAACTCGATGAATTCATCCATCGGTACAAGCTGTTCAAAATTCTGAGCCATAAATTCATTGATTATATTTTTGACATTCTCTGAGCAAACTTTGTTTTCGATCCGATTTATCTTCCTCAAAATGAATGAAGTGTCGAGAGACAAATTCTCTTTCAACCCATCGATATTCGAAAGTAATTTTTTAATGACAAAACTTTTCGCATCTGAAGAACTTTCGACCAAAGAATCATTTAGCAGATCAGTGAGTAAAAATTTATAAGGAAAATCTTCAAAATGCAGAGTCTCCATTAGTTCTGATCCAATGTCTTCACCTTTATTAGAAATCCATCTTCTCACAGCATGCCAAACTACTTCATGCTTTTTATCCAACTTTTGTAGATAAAATACGAGTTCTTCTTTGCTCAGATGTAGAAAATCTTCACCCAAAATCAGAGACTCAAAATTATCCACAATGAATAGTTCAGCATTGATTTGTAACTCTGTGCAATCATAAAGTCTTGCCAACCTGACCACTGGAAGGCAATGCTGCACTGACAGATTATTTTCCATGAAATTGAAGCATATACTTGATAATACATCAAGCTGCATTAAGTGGGAAGCATACAGAGTATTCTCAACAGATTCCATGGATGGATTTGCTTCACCAGTATACATGAAATCTACACACTGCCCTACAGCATCAGCACAGATATCTTTCATAACGACAAAACCATTCCGAGCCTCAACCATGTTAATTGAAAACATGCCTTTGAAGTACTTTTGATACTGCGGCAAGCAGATCTCGATGGACTTTGAAAGATTTGTCACCAACTTTGATTGTGAAGTTACAAATGCAGTCAGATTGTTTTAGTTCATTGAATGATGTAAGTACATTCAATGAGTGGGTAATCTTTGCAGATTTTTTGAATTCATCCATATTCTGTATCTTGGAAGTGATTCACAAATGACAAGGCTTTAATAATAATATAGATGACAGCAAGATGATTACCTAACTAGATTCTGTGGTATTTGTATATTAGGTAAATATTTGTAGTATTGGAGAATTTCAAATTTGCAATACAATATAAAGAGAGGAGAGATAGAAACAAGATTCAAGGTTACAAAAAGGTCAAATCCTAATTTGTTATATAGATGTCCTGGTGCAGTGATTTTCAAACATCCAATCGCAATGAGATTGCGATTTTGGATTAATATGAAAATCCTATCATGTACACTGCAACCTACTTTCTCAAGTAGGTTGTTATTTCGTATAGATAACAGACATTTCAATGCGTCTCTTTCATTAGAGACAAAGCTGACTATTCAGTAAGGGGCAAACTTGGTTTCCTGTCAGTAAGTTCAGTAGTGCATCATGCACTCAGTAGTAGAATAGACTCATTTCAGAGCAAGGTGACCGTTGGATTGGTGGCTGAAACGCTAAGAGCTACAAAAACTATTTAGAATTTTGAAATTCCATTCAGTAGGAGACTCATCTCTGTACAGCGTTACGAAAAACCACTAAAAACCAAGAGCAACTGATTCTATTCAGAATTCAAAGCGATTGATGGTGAATTACGCGTCCTCACTCAGAAGTGAAAAAGTCTCATCTCAGAGCACAGTTACGAACAATCATCTAAACTTTAAAACCTACTGAGGAGAGATTCAAAATGTTGGTGGTGCAATATACGTATTTACACAATAGTGAAGGAAACTCACCTTAAGTTAAGTCACAGGCGAACATGTGCAGGAGGGTACTTGGACTATTTGAAATCATGGTGGTGCATTATGTGCACTCAATCAGAAGTGAAGAACACTCATCTCTGAAAAATGTAATGGGTGCCATCAGACTATTTGTGCAGTTGAATTTCCAGTCTTGCACACTTGCAACATTATTCTTTCAAACCATGGCTCCCGACTCATATTTTCTAACGTCTAGCTAGAATGCTCGTTCTACGTTTCATATGTACTGCTTGCTACTGTTCATTGTGATGTCACATACCAAGTGACTTGAATTCTGGAAATGCATTTGGAAAGGGCTAGTTTTAGACGAGCCTACAATGCCAGCCCATAGTACGTGAATCATTTAAGACAGGGGTTTGCAACTTTCGGCCGGGGGCAAAATGCGGTCCGCGGACAAGTGCCAATTTTGAATAGTGAGTGGCCCGCGAAACGAGTTTTTCCAATTTAGTGCATTCTAGTATGTGCGAGTAATTCCGTGCTGCGAAGCCTTAACCTGAGTGCTTTATCTGAGCTTCTGCAAAGGAAACACCGCATTCATAAGATCAATAACCAAAGTACCTGAAGTATGCGAACCAAGATGGCGGAACTGGAATGTATTATGTGTACCAGGTTAAGGTTAGGCGAAAATTTTCTTCCAATTTTTCCAATCTTAGTTCCATGGACTGGCCAATTGACTCTTGTAGTATTTGTTCCTGAAATTATGGTTTAACCCTAACCTGGTACACATACTACTTTCCGGTATCTGCCATCTTGGTACGCATATTTCAGGAGTACCAACAATTTTGTGCCCGAACTACAAGAAAGCTTAATGGTGAAGCGGCTCGCGGTTCACTCAGTTATTTGTATCTGCCCCTAAAATATTCATGCGCAATAAATCAAATATTTGCTCAGTGTAACATTTTATTAGAGGGAACACTAATGGGCGAACCCTGAAATATCATAAGCTTGAATACTTGATCGCATATAATTCTTTTTCCAAATCACACTATCATTATTTTGCTTGCCGAATGCCTTCTTCTTTGCTTGTGATTGTTGAGACTTTTTTTTTTTTTGTGACAAATCCGATAAAGTTTAATTTTGCTAAAATTGGACTAAAATATTCAAACAGATTTAATATATATCCGTGATTGTTACTTAATTGTTAGTATTTCCACGGCTCCTGCGTGCATAACACAGGGGTATATTTTAACAATGCTCACAAGCTTAAAGCCGGATCAGTGAGTATATACATCATCGTGTTTTTCGTTTATATTTGTATATTATAACAATGATCACTAACATAAAACCCGATTAGTGAGTTCATATATCATCGTGTTTTTCATTGATATTTGTATATTTTCGTATTCATCACAAACTTAAAAATCAGCAATTGCAATTCAGTCGCATATGTCGGAAATTTTCCGCCTCGACTTGATCGGCAATTCAAGGTTTCGGGAAGGTTTGAGTTCGACTCGAGTCATCGCATCATCAACTAACTGTCAGTGAAAATTAACCCAATGATTGAGTCTTGACTTGAAGTTTAGTTAGTTGCTTCTATTCAACACAGGTGGAATGTTTGTGCATTATTGATATATAAAATAACTATTTTATAGTTATCCTTAGGGAGAGAGACCAGTTTAATCATGCAACGATACACTCTAGTTTGCATTTTAGATACACTGACATAAGACTTCTGTTGTCCGGGGAGTTGCTGATAATGATATTCCTTATAACTAACCAAAAAAATAATTTAGGGAGTTAACAAATTATAGATGCTGTTATACATGGGACTAAATAATTTAAAAGTAAAGTAAGAATGAAATATTTGTAGTATCATTTAAATTATCAAACTAAGCACCCTATAACGTTATACCCGCGCCGGTTGCCTTTATGTTTTTCCTCTAGACACGCCCAATCCGGAGTGATAGCCAATGAGAGTTTATTACTCATCGATCTCGATCGGTAAGTATATTGATGGGTATTTGTCTGTTTGTTCGTTTGTCTGTTAGACAATTTCGTATGTTACGATATATCTCGAGGTTGAATCTGCTCCAATTTTTGCATATGTATTGTATTCATCATATCTCGGACCAGAAACCCATTGATTAGATGAATTATGTCGTATACGTAGCATGTTATTAATTATTTAGTGATGGGACACGCGGTGTCGCTATTGAGTCAGAGCGAAGGAATCGAAACCGCAGTTTCTGCTTTGGGGGATCCCCAAACTATGGCAGTGACATTTACTACGGGAGTACCAATTATTCTGTCTGTTGGCTTTTCTTCTAATCGGGTATGATATAAACTGTCTTATAATTTCACTTATTCTCGGTAAATAGGGAAATTCTATCCTGTATTTAGAAACAAACATCGAAATATTGAGATAAATATGGCTCCAGATGTAGAATATTAAATCCCCTCATTGTTCTGAACAAGGCTGAGTTTGGGTCACTGGATTTAAACTTTTCTTCAAGACCGGACCAGTCCTGCCTTTGGGAGGAGAGATTATTTGCCAATATACAGCACAAACTATATCTGAGAAATGAATAATTGCATAATCATTAGAGAAAAATACAACACACTTTGAAACATCAATATAATTAAAATTGCATAACCAAACAACAATTATAGATGCTTGAAATAAGGATGCCAAAAAAAACAAAAATTATTCAGTTTTTCAAATCATAGAATTCAGCCTTTTTCGAGCAATCAAAATTTTTACAAAATCTGACATGAACAATGATTTATGATTAGAAATATTGAATATACATATATATGTTTGAACAAAAAATACAGATGCTGGATTACAGAAAACAAAGAATGAAGAAAAATCCTTCAATCTGTATATTTAATGTTTCTAATATATATACAAGTATATATATATAGGCACAATGTGTGTCTGTGCAGCCAGACTTTTGTATGTTGGACATGCTCACGTGTTGTATTTACATAGGTTTTGGGGTGCTCCCGAAGTATGCGAACCAAGATGGCGGACATCGGAACGTCACATGGGTAACAGGTTCGGATTAGGCGATAATTTTTTTCCAATTTTCCTTATTTTAGTCCTATCTTGGTTCGTATACTTCGGGAGCCCCGGTTTTAGTTTATATTGTCAATATTTCTTTTTTTCTAAGCTGGAGTTGAAGTCGAAATATTCCTCAAGTCGGTAACAGAGGTTCAAATTTGCCTAATCTCAGAGCCAGACCTTTGAAATGTTTTTTCAAGGTTAGAGTCTAATGTAAAATCACTGCAATTTCACCCAATAGAATTACAATTTGAAACATTCAAATTATAATATACATATATATATATATAAAAACTTACTTGGATTTATAGTGATTCCCTTCTTATACCAAGTAAATTTAGCCTCATAAATCATTTTCACAAGAAGAGAGTTTTCTTCAGTGAGTTTTATATTTTTAGATCAAAATACAAAAATAGTTTATTTTGACACAAATTTGTCACAGCCGTCATTAAATTTCATAAAAAGATTTTCAAATTCTCTCAATTAAGTAATATTAACTTTTACTGTATATAATAAAATATTGCAAATAAAGAGAACGTTAAAGAAAAAATAATAAGGCTGCTAGTAATCTTATGGGCTTCACTCTGCAATTCCATGGCAATGAGGTTCGAAACCGATGTAATTAAACTCATGCCCAACACGTCTACGAAATTGTGTTAGACAGGGAGACAAATGTTACTGCTACTGTTCATCTTTAGATAGATTGATTGTTGGGAATATTTAGAGTTTACATTTTTATTCCGGGGGGATAGAAAAGGTATTAAAACGGCTTAATCATATGGCAAATCATAGTCTCTCGTTCTGCATGTAGATTTAACGAATTAAAAAAATAAACTATAGAATCGATGAATAGAAAAATTATCGTGATTGATACAGCTAAAATATTCATACATCTATCTGGGAAGGTTTATTGAAGTTCAATCACCACCAATGACCGAAAAGAAAAGTTCATAAGAGTTAGTACCAGATTCTACGGCTCACTTATGTAGGGTTTAAATTTTTATCT